TATATGTATATATATATATATATATATATATATATATATATATATATATATATATATATATATATATATATATTTATATAATATATATATATATATATATATATATATATATATATGTATTATATTTATCATTTATTTATTTATATACATATACATATATATATAGTATACAAAAGCAGTGCACGTGTCAACGTTACAACGTTTGTAAAGATATTTTTACAGGATGTGTAGTTGTTATTATTTCGGCGACAACATTAAAATTAGTCTCTCAAGGTCTTCAACCTCTCTTACACATTAAAAAAAAAAAAAAATTGAAAACTTCCACCCCCACCTCTCTCCCGGCGCTCAAATCAGCTTGATGGGAGATAAGGCATATCAGTCTACTCCCCCTCCCCCCCCCCTTCGTGCCACCCTCCCCCCCTGCCAACGATTCCTTTCTCTTCATCCTCTCAGCTTGATCCATTTCTCAAGCCGAAGTCCGTCCCTTGATCGGGGAATCGGACACGTTCCGTCTCGTTTCTATTGTTTTTTGTGTTGGGTCCGCGTCCGAAGGAGTGAAATCTGACTTTCGTTTCTTTTAGATTAGATAGTAAGATTGATAATATGAAATAATAGAAGGACGCAAATTAGTACATTAATGAGCATGATAATTGCAATTAATTAATGGCATCACAGGAAAATATTCACATATGATCCACATACAAGGAAAAAATAAAAAAAATAGATTAAAAAATGAAATAAAAAGAAAAAAAAGTACTTATTTAAAACAAACAAAAGCAAATAACAGACCAAAAATCCACATTTCACAAAGTCGAAAACGTATATACAAACAGAATAGATCATACATATGATTCAAAATATTCACAATAATTCTTATACAAAAGTAAAATATGAAAGACGAAACGAAATGGAAAATTATCCGCACACATCCACCCACTCCACATCATCATTTGTTCACATCCACATAGACCACACAAAGCTAGATCGTAAGCATAATAGTATCCACATGATATCCACTTCATCCACGCACTGTCACCCATATCCGCAATCTTAAGTCTCATTAGCTTATATCCGCACATTGTCATCCACACCTAAAAGTATCGCCCTCATTTACACCTCATGACCTTCATTCACACGTATCCACACACATCACCCACAACCACAGTCATTTCATCCACACACACCCTCACCCATATAAACAAGAATAAACCTCATCTAACACATCCACAAATCCACACATTACTCGCATTCACAAGCATTCCTCTATCCACACACCTCACACATCCACAAACATCCACTTGATCCAAACATCCACACCACCCACACCAAAACATCCACACACAACACACACACACATCACCCACACATCCACACACCACAACCACACCCCACACCCCAAACATCCACACATCCACACCTCCTCACCCACATCCACAAACATCCACTACCACACAAACATCCACATCCACACTCCACAAACATCCAACATCCACACACCCACACTCATCCACACCCACATCCACACAACCATCCACAACATCCACCTCACCCAAACACACATATCCACATCCACAAACACCCACCTCATCCAAACACATCCACACCCCACCACACCCACAAACATCCACACACATCCACGCCTCCTCGCCACATCCACAAACATCCACAAATATCCACAAACATCCATACACATCATCATCCGCATTCCCAAACACCCACTTCATCCCACACACCCACCTCCCCAACCCACCACAACACCACACCACCCTCACACATCCGCAAATCCCCCCCCCTCCCCCAACCCACACCCACACCACCACACACCACACCACCCGCACACATCCGCAAATCACCCCCCACCCCGTCCCCAACCCACACCCACACCACCACAACCACACCACCCGCACACACCCACAAACATCCACACCTCCTTGCCCACATTCCACAAACACCACCTCCCCAACCCACACCCACACACCCGCACACACATCCCCCATCCCCTCCACCCCCTCCCCCCGATGCACCACCCCCCACCCCCCCCTCCCCCACCCCAACCCCAACCCCTCCCCCCCTCACCGAGCCTTCGACCACAGCCCCAAAAGCGAACTGCAGTCGAGATCACTTAACATCACAAAGAGCCGTTTAATAAAGTTATTTACTTAAGTGAGCGGGGAAAGTTCTTGAGGATTTACCCTGGAGGAGTTCTTGGTGTCTTGAGAGAAAGGAAGGAGGGGAGGGAAGAGGAGGGGGGAGGGGGAAGGAGGTAGGGGGAGGGGGAAAGCAGAAGGAGGGGAGGGGGAAAGGAGGTAGGGGGAGGGAGGAAGGAGGGGAGGGAGGAGGGGAGGGAGGAGGAGGGGGAAGGAGGTAGAGGGAGGGGAGGAAGGTAGGGAGGTAGGAGGAGAGGGAGGAGGTAGGGGGAGGAGGGGGAGGAGGTAGGGGGGAGGGGGAGGAGGTAAGGGAAGAAGAGGAGAGGAGAGGAGGAGGGGTAGGGGGGAGGCAGGGGAAGGAGGTACGGGAGGGAGGAAGGGAGGAAGGAGGAGGGAAGGAGGTAGAGGAGGGAAAGGAGAAGGTAGAAGGAGGGGGGGGGAGGAGGTAGAAGGAGGAGAGGAGGAGGGGAGGGGAAGGAAGAGGAGGAGGGGGAGGGGAAGGAGGTAGGGAGGAGGGGGAGAAGGGGAAGGAGAGGAGGGGGGAGGAGGGAGGAAGGAGATAGGGGATGAAGAGGAGGAGGGGAAGGGAAGGACTGGGAGGGGAAGGAGGAGGAGGGGGAGGGGAAGGAGTAGAAGGGGAAGGAGGAGGAGGGGGAGATAAGGTGGGGGTAAGGAGAGTAAGGGAAATATGAGGTGGGGGAGGAGGGAGAGGAAGAGGAAGGATAGGGAAGGATGAGGAGGAGGGGAAAGAGAAGGAGGAGGGAGGAGGAAGAGGAAGGGGGAAGGATATGGCAGGGGGAAGAGGAGGAAAGAGGAAAAGGAAGCAGGGGGAGGAGGAGGAGGTTAGAAGTAGGAGGAGGAGGGATAGTAGAAATAAGACGGAGGAATAAGATGGGGAAGAGGGGGACGCGAGAGGAAAACAACAGGAACAACAAAAAACACGAAAAACAAGAGGTCAACATCGCCACTAAACAACAATAACAAAACAAACAACAACAACAAAAACACAAAACACATCAAAACCAACAAATGCAACAAAGACAAAAATAAAAACCCCTGCAAAAACAACAACAACAAAAACAAAGACAAGAACAGCAAAAACAGAGACCAACATTTTCGCCATCCACCGCCATCCCCACCAACAACAACAACAAAAATATATACAGTCACTACCACCAACAACAATAACAACGAGATAAAACACAACAAAGAAAACAAAACAAAGACACCAGCCTCTTCGCCACCAACAACATCAACAGCAACAATAACAAATGAAAAACAACCACAACAAAAAAAAAAACATTAGCACCTTCCCCATAAAAAAACAAAAAACAAAAAACAAAAAAAAAAGTATATACATATACATATATACATATATATGTGTATATACGCATACACACACCCCTAACACAACCACAAGCACATCAAAAAGCGAAGACCCCCAAATACCTTTCCACCCACCGCCACCCCAGCCCCACCACCACCCACTCCCTCCCACCACCCCCACCCACCACCACCCCCTCCACCAACCCCCAACCCTCACACCCCACTCCCCCTCAACCCACCCCCTCCCACCACCCCACCAACACCACCCCACAAACACCACCCCCACCACCACTCCCAACACCACCCCCACCCCCACTCACCCCACCCCAACATGAACAAGAAAAGATCCCGAGAGCCAATAGAGCCAAAAGACCAAAAGTCCCTGATGAGAAAGACCGAAAGACCTAAGGCTGTTAAGACCGCCGCGTGCCTCCCTTCGCGTTGACAAGGCGGGGGGGGGGTGAAGGTGGGGGGGGGGCGGTAGAGGGTGAGGGGGTGATTGGTGGGGGAGGGAGGGGAGAAGGGAAGGTTGGTGGGGAGGTGAGAGAGGGAGAGACGGAGGGGGGGAATTGTGGGGAGGAGAGAGGGTGAATGGCGGGGGAGGAGGGGTGAAGGTTGGGGGTAGAGGGTGAGGGGCGAATGGTGGGGGAGAAGGGGAGAAGGGGAGATTGGTGGGGAGGAAAGAGAGGGAGAGGGGGTGATTGGTGAGGAGGGAGAGAAGGAGAGAGGGCGAATTGTGGGGAGGGGGGTGATGGTTGGGGTGAAAAGGGTGAGGTGGCGAAGGAGGGGAGAAGGGAAGGTTGGTGGGGAGGGAGAAAGAGGAGAGGCGAATTGTGGGGAGGGGGAGATTGGTGGGGAGGGAGAGAAGGAGAGAGGGTGAATGGTGAGGGAGGGGGGGTGAAAGTTGGGGGTAAGGGTGAGGGGTGAATGGTGGGAAGGAGGGGAGAAGGGGAAATTGGTGGGAGGGAGAGAGAGAGAGAGGAGGAGATTGGTGGGGAGGGGGAAGGAGAAAATGGTGGGGAGGAGGGAAGAAAGGAAGATTGGTGGGGAGGGAGAGAGGGAGAGGGGGGAATTGTGGGTGAGGAGTGGGGAAGGGAAGATTGGTGGGAGGGAGAGAGAGAGGGGGAGAATTGTGGGGAGGGGAGATTGGTGGGGGGGAGGGAGAGGGTGTGTAGAGGAGAGAATGGTGGGGAGGGGGAGAGGAGAGAATGGTGGGAAGAGAGAGAGATAAATGGGGTGAATTGTGGGAGAGGGAGAAGGAGAGAATTGTGGGGAGAGGGAGAGGGGTGAATGATGGGTAAGGGAACAACAAGCAGTTTGGGGGAGGGGTGGAGGAGGAGGGGATAGATTAGGTGAAGGAGAGAGGGGGATATTAATGGGGAGATGACTGCAAAGAAGTGTTTGGGGAGGAGGGAAGGCGATTTGGTGGAGGGAAAAAAACAATTAGAAGGAGGGGGGTTGGGGAGATAATCGGAGGAGGGAGGAGGAATCGAGAACCGGAGGGGGGAGGGGGAGAGAGAAGGAAGAGGGGGGAAGAGGGGAAGAGGGAGAGAGGGAGAAGACAAACGAGAGGAGGTAGACAATAGCGAAAAGAATCGACCAGAATGGCGGGGTATGTCCCACTCGTGCAAAATAACATGGCTATGAACAAGCTGTGATTACTTACGGGAGGAAATAATAACTTAAAAAAATGCGAAAGTCGAAACTCGTACAAACATTCTTTCTCTCTCTCTCTATCTATCTATCTCTATCTCTATCTCTATCTCTCTATCTCTATCTCTATCTCTATCTCTATCTCTATCTCTATCTCTCTCTCTCTCTCTCTCTCTCTCTCTCTCTCTCTCTCTCTCTCTCTCTCTCTCTCTCTCTCTCTCTCTCTCTCTCTCTCTCTCTCTCTCTCTCTCTCTCTCTCTCTCCAAAAAAAAAAAAAAAAAAAAAAAAAAAATCAAGTGATACCCTTAAAAACACACACACACCACACACCACACACACACACACACACACACACACACACACACACACACACACACACACACACACACACACACAACACACACACAAACATCGAAACACAACATATCGTTGAAAAACCCACGTAAGTCGAATGCCACATGAGTGCCAAATGCCTTATGCCCCTGTCGCATGCTGTGCTATGGGAACAGGAGACTAACTGGAGGATTGCTGTAGTTCTGAAGGCGTTCTGAATAATAAGAGAAAGAGAGCGAGAAAAGGAGAAGAATGGAACAAGGAGGAAGAGGAGGGAAGATGGGAAAGTACGGAGATGGAGTATAGAATAAGAGAGAAAGAAAGAGAGGTAGAGAGTGAGAAAAAAAGAGGAGAGAGAGAGAGAGACAGACAGACGGGCAGGCAGAGACAGATAGACAGACAGAGAGAGAGATTGAAAGACAGATAGATAGATAGAGAGAAAGAGAAACAGACCGAAGAACCGAGACCGAGACAGACAGAGAGACAGACAGACAAAACAGAGAGAGAAACAGAGACAGATAGACAGAGAGAAAGAGAGAAAGAGAGAGAGAGAGAGAGAGAGAATCCAGGTCAGAGAGAGGCTCTGTATTCCCAGAATCCGTTCCAATTGGGTTCCAGGTACAGGTGGGATT